GTATACACCCTCCGGGGTTCGAACCCAGGACTTTCCGATTACAAGGCATATTTGTAGGCCAAGTCACCCCCCAGATACAATCCAATGACCCATGGACTTTAAATTCTGCTGACTCTCTAAATGATATCGGCACATGAACAAACCTGTAAACAATCAAATCCTTGAAAACCAATACTTGACGTATATACGAAATATGCATCCAACAATTCATAAGGATATTTAAGTGTTGGTTTGTAGAGATTTGGTTAGTTACAGGACTTCATCATGAGCTGACATTAGTTAGAGAACCATTGGTGATATGTACCCACATGATGTGTTGTTTTGTTTTTGACAGTCTATTTTATTTTGCTATGTGTATATGATCGATATTCCATTATAACTGACATTATGCTTTTGTCTGTCCACTAACTAAATAAACAATGTATGACCTTGTTGTCACATGACATTACAACCAATCATGTTAAGACTGTCAATTTATTGGATCATGTGTATTAGCCATTTCCATACATACTTTTGTACTGTACACTTATTCATTCTTGTGTTCACACGTTTCGTACATCTAAGTACCCTTCCACTCACACTCTCGTGTGACATTTATTTTCCTTGTCTGGAAAATACAAGTATCATTGTAAACCTGGTGGTCTTCTGATTTCCCTCTATCCGCGTCAGGACTATTAACTACTCGACGAATACATAACAATTGGAAACCACCTGGGAGTACTGGACAGCAGTTTCCCCCGTCCTAGTTCGGGACTCTTCATCAGTACGCACCCACATCACGGGGTTCGAACCCACGACCTTCTGGTTACAAGGCGAGCTAGTACACCATTACACCACTGGGACCCGATCCAAGGAAAAACAGGTTTTCTGTTCAGAGAAGAATTATTTGTTTTCAACGGCTTCATTTACAAGATGTAAAATCGTATTTATATTACGGAAAAAGGCAGTAAATGGCACTTGAAATTTTTCAGTCAACATACATATGTTAAAAATAGGGTAATTAAAATGCTTTATTATGGGGGTGGGGTAGAGTTGAAATGGATGAATTGTAAAGATTATTAAATAAAGTGGATTGATATTTAAGATTTTAAAAATAGTAGATCACGTGTTGTCTAAAAAATTAACAGTACGATGATGATAACAATAAAGAAAGCGAAGATGTGAAGTGAAGTGGAATGACGAATTCAAGTGGCAGAATAGAATAAAATGAAAGAATATTACTACGACCAAAGTAAAGAAAGGGGTTTAACAGAACTTTTTTGAAGGCATTATTTAGACCTCTGTCCATGTATAGCTAGGGCTTCGGTTAGCTATGCATAAGTCTGTCTGTCTGTCTGTTTTCGACATAGAACTTTGCACAAATGTGCGGAAGTTCAAGTCGCCACATTCCGTGTAGCACGCGAAGCAAGAGAAGAAAGTACAAGAAAAGCATAATAGAAACAGTGAGCAGAGGTGGAAAAGGAAAAAAAAAAAAATTTAAAACAGGGGGTGCCCGAAGTTTGCTCCATTTTCACAATTTTCGCCCCGACTTGTATATTTGGCATTTTTTCCTTTTTCCCCCAGCATAAGTGGAGAAAACGTAAGCTTTTGGAGTGGTTGGACTTAGTCCGGTAGATAACTTTGAAAGGTTAAATCACATATGGGGAGCTGAATGACCTGACTGCAGAAGGTGTTTACAAATTGAAGACTTTGTCATCTTACGCCCACCTTTCATTAACCAAACAGGATGGTGGTAGTGTTCAGCTATGCGTTTACGACCAACATGCTTACAACGTCCAATGTAATCAGCTTCACACGAGCATGTGAAAGAGAATATAGATGCACACAGAGGTGGACGCACATAAACGGTAGTTTATCCTTCACACATTGTCGAATCATATTTCGGCTGGTAAATAAATACTAAATGTGTAAATCAGCTGTACAAAAAGAGACTAAATCGAACCACTTCAAAAACTTACGTTTTCTACACTTATGCATAGCTAACCGAAGCACTAGCTAGACATGGACAGAAACCTAAATTATGTGTTCAAAAAAGTTTTGTTAAATCCTATTCTTCACCCTAGTCATATCAATGTTCTTTTATTTTATTTTGTTCTCCTTTACCACTTGAATTTGTCATTCCACCTCACTTCATCTTCGCTTTCTTTATTGTTATCATTATCGTACTGTTAATTCTTTAGACAACACTTGTCCTGAAGTTAACTAGTGGATGGTGACTGGCAACAAAGTCCACGATGAGCGTTTCGTCCTATTGTGGACTCGTCCACTGGAAGTGTCTACATTCCCCAGTGAATAATGGTGTTCCTAATGAGTCTTGAATCCGGTACCCATAGTTTCAAAAGCCGAAATGTGTCATCCACTAGACCACCTGGGAGAAGATAGCCACCCCCTTTCTTGTGCAACGAGTATCAGCAATCCTTTAACACAATTTGGACTTTTCTCCCGATTGACTGGACTGAAGTGATCGACCTTAGGTTGTTGACATGTCACCATCCACCATCCACAAATTGACTTCAAGTTAAAGAATCAGGCATCGTACAAGCATTTGCACAGGGAGCCGAAATATCAACCTGAAGCAGAGCACTTCAATCCAATCAATCAACAAGAAAGTTCAAATTGAATTCAACACTTGACATGCTTTTATAATATTAATGCTAATTTGATAATTCTTAAAACTTGAGGATTAATCTAATGTTCACTCTTATTGACTGGCTACAAGACGAAGTTGCGCAGTGTTCTATTGAGAAGCAGTGACCAGCTGGGTCCAAGAAGTTACTGCACGAGGTTACACTGATCCTCATACTGACCGTGTTACCCGTTCGCGCGACCATGATAATAAGGGAAATGCCTTCAGTAAAACCAGAACTACATACACCTCTGCTCTGAACAGCTGAAATACCACTGCCTAAACATTAATGATCAACTTGAAAAGCAGGTCTACAAGTATGATATCATGAGGCGAAAAGTGCAGCAGTACAAAGTGGCACGTTTCGTAACACACACACACCACACACGCAAGGAGACGAAAGGAAACAGGATTACAATACATCAGCACATCCAATAGTACAATACTTTGAAAACCTGTAAAGTGAATAACTCTGTGTGTGTGTGTAATTTTACCATGTATCTATGTGAAAATTTCCAACTTTCGATGTCTGGTATCCAGAAGATACCATCACTAGTTGGAATAATTCCTAATGAATTAGAAAAACACATCAAAGAGAGAAAGACAGAGAAAAGCTTCCAAGTTTGGTATTGAACTTTGACAAAACTATTCTTGGTTCTCAACTTACTTACTTTACTTTACTTCGGCTATCTCCTACGGGAGGATGAGCCGGCTTCATGAACGTCTCGAATCATCGCTGCCCAGGCGCGGCGATCTGAAGCAAGGTTTTGTGATAGGGATATCCAATTCTTGTTCCACATACGGAGTCCGTAGACCGTTTGTAGCCCCAGGCACTCCATATCTGCCTTGACTGTACCAAGCCATGTCTTCAGCTGTCCGCCTCTGCGACATCGCCAAGATGGTAATGGCGAGGGATTTAGAACTGATTTGACCAGATCGTCATCTGGTCGGCGCAGAACATGGCCAAACCACCGAAGGCGGCGTTGTTGGACCAGTACTGGAATTTGGTTGATGTTGTAGCAACGCCGACGCACTTCTTCGTTGGAGAGTTTGTCCTGCCAACGAACATGCAGAATGTACCTGAGACACCAATGGTCTAATACCTCGAGTCTGCGTAAATCTTCCGCGCGAAGAGGCCAGGTTTCACAGCCATACAGCAGAACGGGTCGTATGGAAGCTTGGTAGATCCGAATTTTAGTCCTGAGACTGATTTCTCTCTTGCTCCATAGAACGCTCCTCAGCTGTAGAAACGCATTCCGGGCGTTGGAGATTCGCGCATTCACTTCGTTTTTCGCTTGGCCGTTGGGGAGCATTATGGATCCCAGATATCTGAAGGATGGCACAATTTCAATAGGTGCTCCATTTAAGGATAAGATTTCATCATTGCCGGCGGATGTGTTCGAAAACATTTTGGTTTTGGAAGTGTTAATTTTCAAACCGATAGTAGACGCGAGGTGGTTTATCTGGTCGAGCGCCTGTTGCATATCGGGGAAGTTTTCAGCTAACAGCACGACGTCGTCGGCGAATTCGAGGTCGGTTATGTGAATATCGGGCGAAAGTTGGACGCCGTGGTGCTCGGTTAGGGCGTGCCGCAAAATCCAATCAACTGTGAAATTGAACAGGATGGGGGATGCTGGACAACCTTGCCGGACACCGCTGGTTACCTCAAAAGTGCGGGACTCTTCACCGTTCACTCGGACTCGAGCTTTGGTGTTGGAGTAGTATGACCTGAGCAGGTTGATTAGCTTGGTCGGAACTCCGTCGAGCTCCATTAGATACCAGAGTGCTCCTCGATCAACTGAGTCGAATGCCGCTTGGAAGTCGATGAAGCAGGCAACCGTCGGCTGTTGGAATTTGTCCCTGTGTTCCAAAATTCTTCGCAGTGTGAATAATTGATCAACACAGCCTCTTCCAGGTCGAAATCCGGCTTGATTTGGCCTTGTTCGCACGTGGCGTTCGGCCGCGAAGCGGTTCAGGAGAATGGAAACAAAAACCTTAGCAGCGATATCAATCAGACTTATGCCTCGGTAGTTCTCGCATATTGACCTGTCTCCCTTTTTGTGGAACGGTAGCAGAACTGAGGTGCTCCAATCGGAAGGAATGGTTTCGGACTCCCAAATTGAGCAGAACAGCGAGTGCAGTGCATCGATTAGCGCTGGAGTGCAGGCCTTGTATATTTCTGGGGGTAGACCATCTTCGCCCGGAGCTTTTTTGTTTCTGAGTGTGTTAATTGTTTTAGCTATTTCGGTTGGAGTGGGTGGATCGCAGTCAACTACGTAGGGTGTTGGTAAGTGTCGTATCGGTCGATGAGACGGTTGACCAGCGTCGCGATTGAGTAGCTGCTTGAAGTATTCGGCCCATCGTTCCATCTTACCATTGGTGTCCGAAATAATTTCTCCTGATGCTGTGCGTAACACAGCATGACTGTTAAGGCGTTTGCCAGATGATTGGCGTAAGAGGCGATAAAGTTTTCCGAAATCGCCTACATTTGTTGCTGCTTCCATGTTAGTCGCCACGTTAGACCAATAGCGATTTCTGTCGTTCCTAGCAGACTGTGTAGCTTTGCGCCTGAGGGAGCGATAAACTGGAGACTTTGCTAGGCGAGCGTCTCTGGCTTGCGAGGATAGAAGCATGGTGTGCTCTGAAATCCAGTCTTTCTGCTTCTTGGATGTGGTACCCAAATGCGTCATTGAAGCTTTAGAGACTACTTCTTTGAAATGATTCCATCGTGTCTCGGGTGTATTAGAAGATGTGGATGTTGGTTCATCTGCGGTGCTTAGTTCGGCCTGGATTTGTTTGGACAAGGCTTGTCGTCTTGTAGAACATTGAAGCGGGGCAACATTGATACGCTTCGGAGGTCGCGTCTTCTGGCGTGTCGTTAAACGAAGTTTGAATTTCGCCCTAACTAGAGTATGGTCTGATCCCCCTTTATTTCCGGCCTCTGCTCCACGATAGGATCGACAGTCTTCCACCGAGGAGATCCAGCGTGAGCGCACTAGGATGTAGTCGATCTGATGTGCAGTGCGACCGTCGTTCGAATACCAGGTGAGAAGATGTTTTCTGGGGTGTTGAAATCGAGTGTTGGTGATATATAATCGATTGTAATCAGAAAAAGATAAAAGTCTATCACCATTACGGCAGCGCTGATCGAGACCGTGTTTGCCTAGTATATGTTTTGTCGCGTCGTCTGAAGGGCCAGTGCGGGCGTTCCAATCGCCGGCTACTATGAGAACGTCACGCTTTGGGATTTTGTTGATTGCCTCTTGAAGATTGTCATAAAATTCGTCTTTGATACTTTCATCAGAGTCGAGGGTTGGGGCATAGACAGCGAGAACAGAAATGTCGAGCGGGGAACCCTTGAACCTAGCGACTGCAACTCTGGAGTTGACCGGTTCGAATGATATTAGGGCATTATTGGCTTTGTTACTGAGAGCAAATGCTACCCCATGTTGTCCCGAATTATTCTGGGGGCCACTATGAAGCAACCAGAATGAAGAATCTGTTCCAGGAACGGCTATTCGGCGGGAGCCATGATCGGGTAACCTCACTTCAGATAGACACGCTATGTCTACCTTGTAGTCATATAAAGAACGCATGGTGATAGACTGGCTACCAGGATCCAACAGCGTCCTAACATTCCAGCAGCCAACAAATAGTTGGTTTCTAAGTGTTAATTGGTTCTCAAGTGTTGCTTTGTAGAGATTTGATTGATTGGTTACAGGATTTCATCATGAGCTGACATTGGTTAGAGAACCATTGAAAAACCACCTGAGAGTACTGAAAAACTGTTTCTCTAGTCCTAGTTTGGGACTCTTCAGCAGTACACAGGCACCTGCAGGGCTTGAACCCAGGACCTTCCGGTTACAAGGCAAGCTAGCTGGGTATACCATTCAGCCACTGGGACCACCCACCCAATTCAATGGCCAACCCATGAATTCTAACTTCTACCAATTCGTGATTTTTAGGGTGACCACCAACCCATGTCATCGGTGGGACATCCATCCTCACACGTGACATCTGGATGGACCTCACTGGTCACGACTTCTCATTAGAACTCCAGGAAACTCCGCCCTGTAGCAAATCACTAACGAGTATCAGATTAGTTTTCTATAGTTTGGTTTATAAGGGTTAGTTTTGTTCTTACGAGTTGGGGTCGCGCTAAATCACGAATCGGTAGAAGTTAGAATTCATGGATTGGTCATTGAGTCGGGTGGGTCCCAGTGGCTGAATGGTATATCAGCTAGCTTGCCTTGAAAGCGGAACCTCCTGGGTTCGAACCTCCTGTGGTGGGTACGTAATGCCAATGATTCCCAAACTAGGCTGACGAAACAACTGTCCAGTACTCCCTGCAGCTGGTTTTCAATGGTTCTCTCTAACTGATATCAATCCGTGATCAATTCGTAAAACCAAAACTAACGCTTACAAACCGAACTATAGAAAATAATAATAATCACTAATATGCATAGCCGTCGTGACAACAACATGCCGAGGAGACCGCTGAGTGACAACACGCTCCAGGCAGTCGACAGGAAGCCGCCTTACGGGAAACGACATGTTTGAGGGTAGGGGGGGGTGACATGGGGATAAGAGCGAATGGGTCAGCAAAAGAGGATTGGAAAAGAAAACAGCATAAAAACGCAGATGTGCCTTTGAAGCCCTCTCTACGTTTCATACTCGGACCCCTAGGGAATAATAACAATAATAATAGAAACTGTCGTTTCGCATAGCTGTATACTTTGACCGACGCTTTATTTTATTCCTTTTTTACATTTCCAGTGCAATATGGAGCTTCAAGCATCAGCTTTGAAGTTTCTGTCTGTTTTTCAGCATAGAACTTTGCATCGATGTGCAGCTGTTCAAGTCGCCACACTCCCTCCTCCATGTAGCCCACAAAACCAGAGAAGAAAGTAGAAGAAATGCATAATAGAGACAGTAGACAGGGATATGAGACAAAAGGAATGGTAATAACGAAGATCGATATAGTTTCATAGGAAATTGTAAGCCACAAGAAGTGAATGCATCTGCGCTAGCCATTGAGAACAATCTTGTGCGATATCACCGATTGTTTCCAGCCACTGGATTTTACTGTCCCGAGGACCCCAACCAGTTAAGAAGTCTACAATTCCCTACGTATTGGCTGGCTGGTTTAAAATAACTGTTGTGGATTTCATTGATTAATGAAGTCCTGTTTTGGTTTGACCACCACTGGCTCTTTCCCAGCTTGACCCTATGTCAGCTAAGATCGCCCGTCGAGGAAGGCGATGACTATGCATCGATGTAATTTCACAGCCTCGTCGATTGATTTCCCCTCCTTACCCAGCACTCGAGCGATACCTAACCTTAATATTGCTCACCTTATTATTACCATTTCACACGGTAGATAGAACTCAAGCACCTATGACCGAAGACAGATAATCTTTTTATGTCTTCCACTCTCAATAGTCAGGTCTCACAGACATAAAGGAGGACGGGGTGGACTGCCACGGTGAGCAGTACACCCGCCCTTTGGTCGATAGCCAACCGGAAATCACGTCAACCAACGAGTGGGTGTGTAGGATGATGGCTGGCGTTACCAACCTTCCCGTTCCACCGGCAGCTTAAGTTAGGCTAGGGGCTAGGCTGTGTCAGCTGGGGGATCAAATCGCCTCTCGCCCCCCACCCCTCCAGATGATGTGTGTGATTGGCCAGTATTCTAACAAGTTAAAAAAAACGAAACCGAATAGATTAGCACACAAACAACCACACACACACACATACACACAAAATAATATTTATGGAAAATAGAACTTCATAAAAAATATGCATATATTAGTTTACTCGATAAAAAAGCACACGCGAAAAAAGAAAAATATAAACTGAAACAAGACGACGATATAGGAGACAAGCAACCATAGCAAAAACAGCTGATGGATACGATGAAAATAAAAGTGGAAACCCACAAAACATAAATGAAAACAATATTATATATATATATATATAAAGTATCACAGATCTTTCTATAATTTACTCCTCTCAGATACGAGATCCTGAAGAGATCTCTTATCTCCACATGAACAGGGGGGAGGGGGAATAGAAAGAGGATAATATAATATGGATAAGAGGATGAACGGCGAGTCAACCTACCAATATCACTCACTTTTCGTGAAAAAAAAATACTAATATCAAACTATTAAAAAAAAAGAATATTAAAAAGGAGATAAAATTATCAATAAAAAAGTTATATAACAAAAATAATAATATTAATTATCACAATAATAATTGAATGTGTCATGTGTAATCTTGAAAGTGAAAACAACGAACGCTCTGTTGTGTTGACGAAGGCTGCTGTGGCTGTGTAGCTAACAGAGCGTGGATTTTTTTTTGTTTCTCTTTTGTCATGCTGTGCTGCACATAGTTTTTAATTTCCTGAGTTATTTTCAAATACTGTGAAGAAAAGAAAACAACATTGTATGCATGTATGGATGATAGATAGATGAATGTATTTTAGATGGAGAGATTGAATCCTGAGTCCCGCATACACTCAAGAAGATAAACGATCTCATAATCAGCAGAACAAATCGATTGTGTGTAGTATGACTGGACTGAGAGTTGGCGTTGGGTAAAATGAAAATGAATATTCATAGATGGATACGTTTGCTATTTTTTTTAAATTGTTCCATACATTCTTGGTTCTGTGAACAAAATGAAAACAGAGAAAGAGAGAGGTGGAGAGTAAAATGAATTACAAGAGTAAACGTCTGCAAATGAACACTCTTCATTAATGAATCCAAACGGAGATTGAAGATGAAGATCGTTAAGTTTGATCACGGATTGTTATCAGTTAAAGAGTCATACTCAAAAACAAAAGAGTGTTAAACAGTTGTTTCGTCCTATTTTCGGACTCTTCATCAGCAGACGCCTACGACCACCCACCCACCACCCCCGCAACAGGAATTGAACCTATGAGCTTCCGATTACGACGCCAAGCTAGATGACCTACTCAGTCACTTGTGGGCGGAGGGGGAATTCGCAATTTTCGCGCGACCACCAGCCAATGTTATTCATGACGAGTATTTTGATTTCATTACATCCGACCTGGTGGACCAACGCTGGTCACAACATCTCTCTAGAAGAACTCTACCAAGTTTCGTCCTGCAGTCAATCGCTAGTTTGGATATTAGATTAATTTTCAAAATTTTGGTTGACTGTCTGATATCAATCCGTGATCAAACTTAAAATAAATAGAATTCCAGCGCACTAACTCTTGCGAAAAAAGTAATTAATAAACCATTCGCCTAAATTAAGAATTTTGTTGTCTATAGTTTTCAACATTGATCCCGACCGATAGCTGCTACTATGATCTGGTAGTCGGGCTTGCACATCGCGATGACCAAACAAGCTGCACTGGCTGGAACCAATGTTCCTGCAGGTCCTACCATGCCAGGAAGGTTGTTAGGATAGCGATTAGACTACGAGCAGTTACCGGCATTGTGTAAGAATCTTTCTTGCACTATATTGGGGGGTTTGACGGTGAAGTCGTACTGCTGGGGAACAGGGGTGTAACAGCAGTGAGGTGTTTCCCTCAGATGACCAGCATGCCAGCCAGCGATGCTGTCTCTCCACTCTGGAGAGAGGGGGCTAGAAAAGGTCGACGCCAAAAATTGTATATCCCGACTCACCCCACCTACGGTGGTCGGTAACCGGCGGTAAGTTTACTAATATGGCAAAAATTCCAGAAACCAGTTCATACAGGCCGTGTGTGAACGGCTGGCCTCAAGCAGTTGTCTCTTGGGTTTTGCGGTCACGCAACATAAACCCTCTTTCTGTTTCGGTTACCCAAAGGCAGTCGGGGAGTAACAACCGCCCACACACTTCCAAGAGCACAAGAAGCCTTCCTGAGCATCATTCTCAACATTGACGATGTTGAGAGATATAACACAACCCTTATTCAATATCAACGCGAATCATTAAAAAGTTAAAAGTCGAAACCATTTAACGCTGAAATCTATCTCCCCCCTTCCCCAGCTGGATATTCAGCAGAAATTCGGTCGAAAATGAAATAAAGCAGGTGCTTAGTATACCTTCGTTAGTGATATTAGATGGTTGGAGGTGACCGGCCACAGGAAGCCTTCGACCTAGGTTTTGTGCTAGTTGGTACTCGTCATCAAGACGTATCTGCAACCTTGAAAGAAACTCATGTCCCTTCTGAGATTCAAACCCGCGTCACCCAGTGCAGAATTCAGAAACCTTACTACTGAGCTATTCGGCCTCGCGACTGACTGCCGACTGCCTCCAACCATCTAATATTATCAAATCAGTGTGCACCATGATGGCGAGCTACCTAGTGGCATGGTGTGTCCACATTGCAAACCTAACTGATTGACAGAATTCAGTCTGCACCAAAGAAAGGACTAGCCGGACACATCACACTAGTTACTGACCACCAGTGTCCAATCAAAGTACTTCCGTTAATTTTCTTTTAAATCAATACTCCAACCAATGAAACAAAATCCCTACAAAACACCAGCACTTGAAAATCAATAATTCCCCAGAAATCTACTACCAATTATGGATTATAATTTCAACCTACTTT